TCCCCAGAGTCAAACACAACCCTGATGCGGCACTCAATGAAACCGAGTTTGACACCCCTGCTTTAGACCGTCTAAAAGAGGCTTGAAGAACTTGCTTACATTAGGAAACCGTTGTGGAAAAAAAGGTGGGATCTGAGTGTTTGAGACAGGCTTTTCCAGAATAGCCTTTTGTACTTTTAACAGTCCTCAGAAGAAAAATGATCCATGGAAAACACTGTAGCTCAGCAAATAAGAGACAGTCAACCTGATTCACATATACAGTAGCACATACGTTTCCCAGGGCTAGACATTTGTTAACTGGGACAATCATATTACCTTACTGTGCTGTCTTTCCTATTGTTTCTAGTTTGTTCCAAGATGCAATACAAAATGTTGGTTTTGGTTTCTAAACCTCTAAACGGTTGGGACTTTCTTATCTGAAGAGTCACACCCTCTCTTGTTTTCTACCTGGACTTTGGTCCTTTGCAGAATCCTAAAACAAAATTCAGAGGGTGTCCACTAAGGAAAAAGGTGTTTCTTCCAATGCTGACATCTTGGTTGTCAAAAGCTTTTTCCTATAGAAGTCCAGACTACTTTATATATTTTTCAGTGAACAATCATTTCCCCATTATTTCAGGCTTATTAAGATTTTTGACATAGTAGTTTTTAAAGAATTTTCAAAGCTCTTCAAGATCCTGGTGACTTTGAATTTCTAGAGTTTAAAAGTTCTATGTACATGATAAAAAAAAATTAAGGATATTTCCCAATTTCTGAGTTTTTAAAATTTCTGCCACTAGTTATAAGTAGTTTTTGATTGTTCAAAATTATTTTAACTCCTAATGGAAGTGATCCAGAGAATTCCAATTATGTGACATCCTAGAAATATTCCGATATTCAGTCATTAGCTACATGCTTATTGAGACCATATTTTCAATCCTGGTTACAGGTCAATACAGTACCAACAAAAGAATGTGACATGCAGGGTTAGAATTCATTATGACTATACAGGACAAGATACATAATCTAACCATCGGTTTAGAGCTGGCTTATGAATGTAATAAATTATTTAGGTGCAAAAGAACAGTATCTTTCATCTGGATGTTATGCTAAAATATCTATAATCTGGTTTGTATGCTTCAATGGATTGCCAAGCATTCTGATTTCATTACTGCTAGCAGAATTTCAAGCTTAACATGAGACACATACATAGGCACCCCCCCNTTCTTGCACAGATTTCACTTCCACTTGGATTCGGTGTGACTGTCCCTGCACACCCAGAGAAAATATTGTAAAAAGCAGTATAGGAAGACCAAGGAGTAAGGGCGACCTCTGCTGGCAAGAAGAGGTCTCTGCATCTTGATCATTCGAACTGATTAATTAAAACATTTGCCCACTCATTCCGAATTGCTCAGGGGGAGAGAGAACAGCAAATTGAAAACACTGCATTAAGACTACATCATAAAACACCAAGACCATAAAATTATAAAACTGCCTTATCGTGATAGTCAGACAATTAGTTTACCAGTCTAGCATTCCTTAATTCTGACTAGCATCACTTTCCAAGATCTTCACCAAAGGTCTTTCCCAACCCACCTATCTGAATTTGTTTGGGGCACATTGCAACTTAGGCCTCTACTCTATGTAAACTTGGTAGTAAACTACTGAGCCATATCCTCTACTAAGAGCAAATCCTAAGCCTGCAAAATAAAACACTCAAACACTATTCCCAAAAGCTGAGCATGAAAAACATTCCATTTACTAGATGAGTGTTCAGAATGTATTGGGACTGCAACTTGCAGAATTGGAATGGGCAGGCACTGATGCAAGTAGCAAATGCCAAACAACTGGAAGCTTCCAGGATGGGGTAAACTACACTAGAACTACTCTTTAACTAATCCTGTAGGCTTTAGAAAGTACAGCTCGAGCAATAGCAACATGGTATGGAGCAACTTGTCTTCTTCGCTCACATATGCTTATTCATTCATGTGCATGTGATTAATGGCAACTGGTCAAAGGAATGGATTCTAAGATAAAGTTCTCATTGGCTCTTTCACATAATATGCATAGTCTGAATTAATTCACCTTCTGTACGTATATTGAAGCACAATGTTTCCAATGGGTCTTAACTTGCCCAATGCTAATCTTAATGAAGGTTGATGCTAAGATTTCTATTTTGTGCACATGCATCTAAAAGCTTAGCTGGTCAGATTCACCTAGAGCAGGAGTGGCAAACTCGCATTGTCACTGTGAAGTCATGTGACATATCGGGACTTCCCCCCCCCCTTGCTTAACTGGTTGTGGGCGTGGCGAGCACATGAAGCATGCAGCCCATTGGCTGGGAGTTTGACAGCCCTGACCAAGAGGGAAGGCTTTTCCTTTTTCTATAGAAGAGCCTTTTCTATAGAGAACTAACTAAAACCTCAGATGGTAGAAGGGATAGTCATTAACTTAAGATATCTGTTAAATTACTTCATTTGCATCCATTACACAAATTAATTGAAGAGATGTTGAACATTAATGCTGTAATCATGCAAATGATATACATACGGTAGATTTTCTAGTCTTGGAAATAACATACTTTGTTGCTTGGGGTGAGAAGTCCAAATTAAAATGTCCACAATCCAATTAATGGATGTCCAAGGAATTTGCAATTTTTCTATAGTATATCAAGGGGAAGAATTCTGTGATGTAAACAAGCTTAGCCTCCCACAGAGGTGTTTAGAACAACAGAGAAAATAATGGGAAGGAAAAATGTGATGCTAAGTAGCCTATGTTTGTTCCTGTTACCACAGGAAGAACTGAGTAGCCTGAACATCATTTGACAAAAGCCAAATTCATAGTGTTTATGTAGTCTAATCAACCACACCTCTAAAAAGAGAGGCAAAATAATAACTATTGACGTTATTGATGGTCTTTACCATCTTACCTGCTTGAGTTGAAAAATGCCACCTGTATGTACATCCTTTGCTGGAATTACTTCTACTGGACAGTATTCTCCATTCTCATTGAGTTCCAGAATCTGAACCCATAGCTCCACTTTGCGGGTGACCTCACTCCACCTACCAAAACACAATTTTTGAGACAAATGAAACGCTATGCCTTTCGCAAAAGATTTTACTTTGCTTTGGAAACTAAACACCAGGAGAAGAGATGTTTGCAAGCATAAGGATATATGCGTGACAGAGAGGAAGAGGAAGTATATATGCTTGCAAGAAAGCAAGCAAGAAGGGAACATATGTGCACTTGCATGGGAAAGGAACATTAAAAAGGGAAATCATTTCAGTGCAGCTTCACTTCAGTTGGGAAAATACATTTAAGTTTGCCTTGTGGTTACGCCTAAGCTACTTAAGGGTATCAAATTTTGCCAACATTGGCATTTACAGTACATTTTGAAAAGAGCTACATATTGAATTAAATTGAAAACTACTCCGTTCCTAATATAGTTATAATAGAATCTTGAGATTTTAGAAAGGCAGTGATTAAAGAGTAGGAGGAAGAGTTGTGGCAGAATGCAAACAAGGAGGAGAGAGGTAGTAATGCTCCCCACCCCCACGGCCTTTGGGAATAGATTGGAAGATCGGAAGAAAGTGCACAATAACTCATATTTTGCTTATAAAACTTCTCTTCTGACTTCTACACAGTTTTGCCTCACAGGTTTTAAATGTGTTCATCAGCTAAGTGCCATCTCTTTTACCTGTCTCGGAGGCTTCGCGTTTTGGCTTGAATTATTCCTAAATCCCAGAGTGCTGGGTTTTTGCGAGAATCACACTGCTTGTGCCCATATACTTCAATAGCTAGAGCACCATCCGAAAGATATTCCATAAAATCTTCAGTGATATTGACGGAGAATTCCTAGTCAGAAGAGGATTAAAATGAGAATGCACCGTTCACTTCCTTCCCTACCATTGCAACATATAGATGCTGAAACATGGGAGCAAACAGGTTAGCATACATTAGTCCCAACAGGATACCTGAACTGGAACAGTCAACAGCTGAGATCTGCAACCTTAACAGAAAGCTTAAATCACTGTGATAAATGGAGTACCAGAAGGATCTAGAGAGCAATTTAGAAAGCTTTATGCTTGGAATCCTGAAGCAAACCACAGGGGGAAACATAGCAAAATTAATGGATGGAATTTGCTGTCCTACTTTTGGAGATTTATTATTGCTTTTCATTATGATGAATTCATTTCTCTCTTCCATGTGATGTTGCCTGATTGTACAGCTTCGACAGGCAATTAACCAGCAGTCTTTTGGAAAGATTATATATGCATACTGAAAGCTCCAATTTGCTAGAGAATATACTATCAAGAATAATATACTATAATGTATATACATATATTTCTTCTATATATATATATATATATATATATA